AGGATAATGTTTATTTGAATTACAAGTATTACTTAAATAGGTTTACCTTTTTGGTCATTCATATGTATAAATTTAGTAAAATAAACATTGAGGTTCATATTCTTTGTGAATGTTCTGTTCTTATCATCCCTGTATCCTGTACCTCTTCTAACAAATGGTGGTTTTCGTTAAGAAGAAAAATTGTGACACATTTCATTAAATTATTGTAACACAGAAACAAGTAATGAAAAAATTCGAAACTAATATCGATAGAAATATTTTTTTTATATCATTCGAAGTACTATCCTCAATATAAATTAAATGTATTTATATATATTTTTATATATTTATACAATACAATTTAACAGGACAGAAAAAATAGCAATAGCTAACTACACGAATAAACAATACAAAAAAAGATAACAGAAACTAGAAACAAAAAAGTGCTATTCAACTGCACTATAACACTTTAATTTCTGTAAAACGTCTCTGTAAGAGCATAATCAATGTTGTTAGACTACAAAGTTTTATATTCTAGTATTAAAAATCTTTCGTGCCATATTATAACTCAAATAGTTTGTGAAATTATTGAAAGTATAACAAATTCACACTTAGATATTCTAAATACTTTTTTATATAAATTTTGTATGTATGTTTTCAAAGACTAGATATTGTAGACACCGAGTAAGGATCCACTTAAATTTATTGGTATAAAAACTAGACAGTAAAGCTAATAAAGTATCTAATCACATAATTCTATATGTGCTAGCAAATAAGTTAGGTTAATGATATGGATTGCAGATAACGTACTCTTTAATCTCCTCTTCTAAAGATGGATGTTAACAGGATGTTAAAAAGGTTCAATCACTAAAAATTAATTTGTGTTTAGGTATATTTAAACAAAACTTTACAAAATTGTTGCTTTTGGCTTCGAAAAGATTTTATGGTGCAATAATATTATATAAATTCTTGTATAGAATCGAACCCATCAAGTAGGTGGTGCATAATATCAAGTACAATTTCTATGATTCGGACGCTTATAGCCTTTAAGGTAAAAGCTTCCCGGAAATTATTTTAGCTTAATTATTTTAGCTTAATGTTAAATTAAATAAAAGTAATGTAGTTAAAAATCCATTAAACAGGTGATGGATAAAGTATACCATGGATAAGTTCTATAGTTAGGATGGTCATAGCTTTATAGGTAAAAACTTCCCGCAAACTATTTTAGTTTCGGTAAGTTTTTTACTCTATAAAACGTGCTATAGTAAGTGAGAGTAAATAAACTATCTGCAGGATCTACAGGAAGTGTATAATCAAACTAAATTAAACTAAATATTATAAATGGTATAAATATTAAATGGTATATACATTGTGACCGAAAAGTTTTCGGAAATTCTCATTTAAAATTCGTGCGCTGTATATTTTTCGATATTTTAAGTTTATGTAGTTTGGCAGCACTGTCCTTAATTACTATGCCAAAAATGAGCGCGATCTGTCAGACAGTTCGTTTACGGCAGACTGTTGAAACCAGTTCACCTCAGTAGTGCGTTGCGAAAAAACAATGGAAAAAAATATTGATCAAAGAGTTTGCATCAAATTTTGTGTTTCGAACGAATTTTCGTGTGCAGAATCGTTGCGAATGCTACAAAAGGCTTATGGGGAATCAGTTTTATCGAAAACTCAAGTTTATGAGTGGTACAAAGCCTTTCAGGACTGTCGTACGACCGTCGAAGACATGCCGCGTTCTGGACGACCTTCGACCTCTACCACCGACGAAAACATTGAAAAGGCAAAGGAAATCGTGTTCAAAAATCCTCATGTGAGTGTTAGAGAGATAGCACGAGAGCTAGGCATCGGTCGTGAGATGGCTCGTTTGATTTTGGTGGACAATTTGTGTATGCGACGTGTCAACGCTCGGCTTTTTCCGATTCACCTCAATTTGTTCCAAAAACACCATCGTGGACAGGTCTCGTTAGACATGCTTGATCGTGCCAATTCCGATCCAACTTTCATGGAACGCATCATAACGGGTGACGAGACATGGGTCTACGAGTACGACATGCAAACAAGCCAACAATCATCGGAATGGAGAGGAAAAGACGAGCCGAAACCGAAAAAACCACGCCAAAGTCGCTCGAAAATCAAGGCAATGCTGATTGTTTTCTTCGATATTCGTGGTGTGGTGCATCATGAATTCGTCCCTGAAGGACAAACAGTCAATAAAGCCTATTATTTGACTGTTTTAAGACGTTTGCGTGAAAATATCCGCCGTAAACGGCCTCAATTGTGGAAGGATAATTCATGGATTTTTCATGACGATAATGCTCCCTCGCACCGAGCCAACATTATCAACGATTTTAAGGCCAAACATTCAATAAATACCATCGAACAGCCCCCGTATTCACCTGATCTTGCACCGTGTGACTTTTTCCTGTTTCCCAAACTCAAATTACCACTCAGAGGAACGCGTTTTGAATCCATAGAAGACGTAAAACAGAATTCGCAGAGGAAACTCAAAGCCATACCGGAAAGCGCCTATAAAAAATGTTTTGATGATTGGAAGAAACGTTGGCATTTGTGTATCGCTTCTAATGGAGCATATTTTGAAGGAGATAAAATAAATATTGATGAAGATTAAGAATTTTGCGTTTTATTTAAAATTTCCTTTTCGGTCACAATGTATATAAATCTATAATATATAGATTTATTATATTATATAATATAATAATAATCAATAACTGATTTTATTTAAAACTTCTTCGTCTTTTATACAAAATAAAATGCAACCATAATTAAGTTTATAGTGCAAGATATACAATAATTACTAAAATTAATTTATTATTTAATTCGCACAAATTGCTTACTAAGCAACAAGTGCGAGCGATTAACTTATGATCTAATTCTTAATTTTTTATTCATTCCTCAACATTATGCCTGCTCTGGGTTGGTATTACGAACTAGTTTAGTGGATGTTGATCTACGATTATTGACTGGTGTTGAGGGTATTTGCAGTTTAATGAAACATATATAATGTAGTGCTCCAAGGAATATGATTGTTATTATGGCTGTAGCCTAGATAACCCATTTTACCTGATATTGATGAGTTATTATTGTTTTCCAAGATATTTCGTTAAGTTGGTCCATATTGTTTTAAGCATCCGCTGGGTAATTCAACAACATAGCTGATAAGTCTTGCATCAATAAGATAACGGTTACATTTGCAATTTTATGCATTCTACTGTCAGACATCGTCATGTTTTGCATGCTGATTGGTTTAACGTGGTGTGTGATCGATTGGAGTTCATTCATCATTCATCCTTCAAGTTGAATAGACTTAGAATGTGTTATACAATCTGGAGAGATGTGGATGATTCCCGTATTGTTCAAAACTACTTCTTCACGTTCAATATGGAATTCGTAAATATAACAGCGTTTCAAATATACATTGAAGACCTTGTTGTATTTTGATTCTACTTCTCGAATGTGATTGGATGCCAAAATATATGAATTAAGTACATATATATTCAGTGTATTTTCTTTTCCGATATTATGCCAATCTTGCATCTAACTGAACAATCCTTCGTTTAGTCTTTACTAAAGCTATTGATTTTGTTGATGATTTTAGTTTCTGTGCTGTTTACTGCCGCTATTGTGAATATCATGATTCTAGCATTTGATTTAGTATTTTGGATCAATAATTTCGGATTTTGCTCCAACGTTTCAATGTCGTGATACACTTGATCGTTTACGTAAAAAAATGTTGTTAACACTGTACTTAATATTCCTCGGCGCCTTCTTATAGCTGATGATTCTGCCGTCAACAATCGATCAATGGTAGTTCTTAAGATGCGTCCTTCATGATTTCAATTGGACACTATATCGTCACATTGTATATACGGATTGGCATCCTTTGACTTGGTACGGTACGGTTTGCCTACCCCTTCAATGAGTAATCCTGATTCGGGATATGTTATTATGGAAGTTGCTAATGTTGTTTTAATGTGAGATATGCCAAAAATATAGCAAGAACTGTCCTTTTTGATTGCCTATTCGATAACTATTGTCGTCGCATTTTAGGATCACCTACAGTAGATTTTGTCGGAACTACTTCTATATTGCTGACAATGTTTTCAAATGGTAACACATTTTGAGTGTCTGATTCTGCCTTGGTTGATGGTGCTTCAAACCCTTTGCATTTTTTAACTGAATTTTTTTGATTTGACGGTTTATGATCTTCGTTGACATTATTAGTGATTGGCAGAAGACATATTTTTTGGATCGTACGTTTTACTGTCCCTTTTTGGGTTTTAAGTGTAGCAATTCGGGTTAAGCCATCTGTTCTATAATGAACTTCTATGACTCTGCCAGGAGGCAGTGGCATTGATGACATTAATGTTTCGTCTTTCAATAGGACTAGTTGACCAACTTCTAAATTTGGTGTTGATTTTGTCTATTTGTATCTCTGTTGTTGAATATTTCTTAAAAGTCTTTTTTTATTTTCTACACAATCTTCCATATTTTTAGGTTGGTTTCTGTGAAGTTAATAATACTGTCATGCGTTGGAGTCATCAATGACACTCCCACAATGAAATGTCCTGGTGTAAGTGAATTAAGGCCTTCAATGTTGTCTGTTATTGAACAGATAACAATTGATTTGCGTTAAGACCGTATTTGATCCCCGTATGTCAATTTTTGATCACCTATAATTTTAGCTAGATGATATTTAATGGATGTTACTTCTAATTATCAGAGACCACCAAAGTGGGATGAAATTCCAACGTATACCTGTTTCGGCTAGATGATTCTCTATTTGAATCTTCTGTAAAGTGTTGTTTGCACCTATTAAATTAGTACCACTGTCGCTGTAAATATGATGTACGGAGCCACGCCTGTTTATCATTCGTTTGAGTGCTGCTATCCC